AATGTTATCTTCTATACACAATCTTTATGAGCCCATATAATGCACTGACTGCACTGTCCTCGGACGGTGGGTCATATATTCTTCAGAAACACATCTCATATGAGTTGTGGAAAAAAAAACAAAAGTGAGATGTAAGCAATCATTTTCGTTCACTCGAAAGATCATCTGTCCCTCCGTCTTTCCGGTATTTTCAATGTAATTACATACTGGGTAAAGAAGATGGGCCATTCACTTTACCCTCATCCACTTTGCCGAAAGAACCTACTTGGCGAAAATTTAAAAAAGTTTGAAATAAGTTTAAGCAACAAATGAAAAATAACCTCGAATATACATTTAAAGTCAGAGAATTCTTATAAAAAATTATTCACACTGGTTAAAAAACAATTACTGCTAATAATTAAACTACATACCTTAACAAAAATCGCAAAAAAACACACAATTTCTTTCATTCCTCTATCAAACACAAACGCGTCAATATATATTATTTCATGGTGTCGCCGATCGATCATTCCTTCAGTTAGAGATTCATAACACTGTCTCAGATAAATAAGCAAAAATAAAAAATATTCGCTTGGCCCAGAGCGTCCGCTTTGCCTGGACTTCCTCTATGTACTACAGTTTTTCTTGCGAATTCAATTTACACACAGACTCAAAATTAAATATTTTATTCATAAATGATCATTCATTAATAAAGATCAGTTATTACTATATTGTGAAATTAGTTGTTAATTTGACTTGGATTTTAATACATACACAAATTCATAGTAACCTGTATCGTGGTCAATCATATATATCTTATCCTAAATCTAAATGATACATATATCAATAATATAAAGAATATAAAAAAATATAATTTCTCACAATATATATATACACAAAAATGAGAACAGATTCTTCGAGTTTAGAGGTAAAAAATAAACTAATAGTTAACAAAAATTAACTAATAGAACTTAAGAACATCGAAGCACAAAACGAAAAACTCGCTAATTCGCGAGTCGTCACAGACATAAGAAAAGAACCACGCTACACATTTTCACTGCCAACAATTATATAACACTGATTTTTGTCTTTAATCTTAATAAAGAAAGCTATATTCAATCAAAATAAATCAGCAGTAAAAACTTATTTAAAATTAAACAATTTCTTCTTTTTCTCTAGTTAAAATACAAAATAAGAACTATACTATATCATAATAAGAAATTATTTAAAATAATATAAGTATTAAATAATCATTTTATCTTATTTTTATTTAAAAAAAATACATATTTTAAATAATGTTACTTTAAATACAACTGATCCTAATACACATCTATTTTTGGATCCTTTTCCTTCCCATCCCTCTCTCCATTCTTCTCATTCTATCACTCTCTTTTTCTCTTTATCTCTTCCTCTCTCACTTAAACGGAAATGCTTTAAATTATAAAGTTGCAGAAGCCAAAGTTTTATAATTCGACATGCGCTACCAAAAGTTTAAGTCCACATATAAAATTTATAGATGTTCCCACAAGATACTACTTGAAACTTCGATTCATGTCATACTAAAAACTTTTTCTCAATTTAAAAGTAAATTGACATTTTATTTGGTATAATAATAATTAACATTGTGGAATTTTAAGAAAATAAGACCATAATCATAAAGCCTTTTTTCCGAAACTCTCTCTCTCTCTCTGTACTGTGATATTTTAGAAGAGAGATGGAAAAGCCTCTTATTCAAGACAAATAAAATAAACATTGTTGACAGATTATCTAGAATAATAAGAAAAACTAATTAGTACGAATAACTACCTTGACAAAGGTATTTAATATTCTTTAAATTTCTTGAAGAACGAATGTGTTTTGAGAAACATCAAGCATTACATATTATTTCTTATTTCATTATAAGACAATGAGTAAAATAACAAAAATGTGTTATAATCTATAAATTTAGTTTTATTTTATGCAGAGGACATGTTTTTAATTAATTAACGCAGTCTTAAACTTTTAATCGGCAGTGTAGCTGAGACCACGATGTAACAGGAAGAGGATAACAATTTGAAACAGCCTATATTGCAAGAGTTTATATAAAGAGTGATCCATCATGAAAAAGTTCAGTTCCTTATCAACAACTCAAATACGATATACTGTAGTGATATTGCAAATAACAAAAACAGGTATAATTGATAGCATGAATAAAAAAAGTAAAAATATAAGTACATAAATTCAAAGTTAGAATCTGATACAATATTTTTCATGTAAAAACATTTATATAAATATATATAATTATGATTATACAGAGTGTCTGTTAAATAAGGTCGAAGCAGCATTGGGGTTGTCAAGGGAACAAAAAAGTCTTATACCATTTTGTAATTTTCGCAATAGTTGACAAGATATTAATTACTAAAAATGGTCGAATATTGATCTTCTATAATTTTTTTCTCAAATACTATTAATTTTACAAAAAACCTATAAAAGATAAAAATTGTTTATTTTCTTCTCACAGAATTCAGAATTTTTTCAGAATTTTCTATTAACTTTTTAGTACTGCACTTTCTTATCATGAGAAATATGGTATTAAAAAATTCTGAAAAAATTCTCAGAACTTTATGAGAAGAAAATAAACAATTTTTGTCTCTTACAGTTTTTCTGTAAAATTGATAGTATTTGAGAAAAAAATTATTAAAGGTCAATATTCGATCGTTTTTAGTAATTAATATCTTGTTAACTTGCGAAAATCGCAAAATGGTATAAAACTTTTTTGTTCCTCTTGACCCATTCTACACCCCCAATGCGGCTCCGACCTTATTTAATAGACACCCTGTACACAAAATACAGTGTACATATATCAATTTTTTTGTAAACCTACTGTTTGGTATAGAAAAATAATAATAATGCCAAGAACAAATAAATAATTAAAAAATAATTTCTGCATTATTTCTCTTTGACAAATTAAGTTTGAAGAAATATTGCTTATATGAAATTATATATCAATCATTACGTGGACAGTTTGGTAAGTCAGTAACTTTCAAAAAAAGCTTTTGAATAGTAATGCATTATTTTTCATAAACTGTAATATTGTATTGTGTATATTTTAAATAATGCTCATTTCGTTATTTGTAACAGAATATGTTCATTAACATTATTTTATTTAAAAAAAACTTTTATAATACCAATACTAATCAAAATTCCTTCGCTTCTGAAAGAAAATGTAACAAATCCATCGAGACGAAAGAATTTTTTACATTTTTACTTTTGCACGCCACTATGTATGGACATATATCGTTCAAAATTATATTTGTTTATATATGAAAAAATTTACCTGATAATCTACAAGTTAAAAGTTAAGTAATAAAGTTAAAAAGTTAATACTTCAACTTAATTAATTTTTTTTCAAATGAGTTTACTGTTAACTTCAACTAATTAACTCGTACAACTAATTAAGTTATAAAATTAATTTTAACTTATTAACTTTTTCGAAATTAAATCTTTTTATTTTTGAATATATGAATTTTATATGTCTTATAAAATTTTAAACAATTAGAAAAAGTTCA